CGGCGCCACGTCTGCAGAGCGGCGCGAGCCGCCCAACCGCCGCCCAACGGCCGCCCAACGGCCGCCGCGCGGGTCCGAGCGGTTTGTGGAGAAAAGCAGGAGAACCCCGTCGGCCTGGGCAAAGGGGGGAACTTAGGGTCCTCTCCCGCCCGTCTGCCATCATAACGCGCTACGCTTATACCGCTGAAAACTCACGTCGGCACAAAATAGCGGATCGTTTCTGTTTCTCTCGTGTTCTGTGGAGTTTGTCCATCCAGAATATGAGGTTGATGGTTTCTGCTGTCATCCTGAATTGGTTAGGAAAGGACAAAAGTATGATTATTTTTTTTTCTTCTCAAGTAACAATAAGTCTACAAGTAAAAACAAAACAAACAAACAAAAAACCCCATCCCTGTGGCTCTGTCTTGGGTGTTACAGCAAGCTGGTATCCAAAAAAGGTAGAAACCCAAGGTTGTCAGTACACTCAGAGGATATTTGTTGTAACAGGGTCAGTATGACCGTGAGGGAAGCAAACTCAGGATCCTGAAAATTGCAGGAGAAAGGAAGCCCAAATCATTTAGTATAGAAAAAGGTTTGGTGTTTTTTTTTTCTTTAAATTGCAATTTATTTTGGTCCAGATTGTAAAAGCCTAGAGGGAGGTAACTGAAATTTGCACCTAGTATATTTCCTTTTCCTGTGTTATATCCTTAATTCACTAGTAGGGAGGATTGTTGTTGTACGCAACATGTTGCACGTTAATGATCCCGTTGCTGAGGGCTCCTATTTTAAACTATAGGACCGAACTGTGGATCTGAGCACCACCACGGGGGCTCGTCTGTCCATCCTTACTTAGGACCTGAGGGTACTACCGGTTTCAAATTGCAACGTCTGACTTGTCGGCTCGGTCCACAGGGTATACAAACCATGTCCATGATGTGGCCTTTGGCTGTGGCGTTAGCACTGACGTGCAAGATGTTGAACCCGACCACAGCCTCCTCTCTGCTGCTTTTACCCCAGTAGACACCTTTTGGACCCAAACCTCGTGTGTAGCCGAACCGTGCTTGGCACAGGGCTTGGCTGTAATGGCAACAAAAAGGTGGTGTCAGAGACTTCCACATTTGCTGGTTTCTGCCTTTTGTGACTCGCGCAAAGCGTGAATGAGAGCCATGCAAGGCTAGTGGTGGGTTTGCTTCGGAACCATTGGTGACAGCAGCAGATTTCAACCATTTAAACAGGTATGTTGGTTTGTTACTTAAGTCTAGACAGAGTGAAACACTAGTGCATTCTTTTCACTTCAGTCATGTGAGCTGCACTTTGGTTTAGGCCTGGACAGACTGTCCTCCAAATGTAGCTGTACGTCCCCAGCTGACCAAGTGCTTCAGTGCTGTTTTGGTGAGAACTGTGATATCCATGTGGCAGCTTGAAAATGGGTCAGCTGATCATACCGTGTTTGAGTTTACAAAAGTGATGAGATGCAATGCTTTTATTGGTTTGGCTGTTGTTGTTTTTTATGAAGCATATACCTGTAAAAAGTTTTTTAGTATTTTTGTTAGCATATTCAGGAATCTCATATTTGTGCAGTAATTCAGATACAGCTTTTTTTTGTGTCTCAGTCTTGTAATGTTCCTGTCCCTGGTTCCTACATGTATAGTATGTTTCAAATGTTATTCCAGAGGTGAGGCTGTGCTGAGGTGCTGAATTTTTACCTTTTCGTTCTATGTGGTGCTAGAGTGTGCTGCTAGTTAAAAGAGGTCATTTGCATAAGTAACAGGTATGTTTTACTGCTCATTCAGCCCATCAGTGTTGTAACATTGTCACTTGATATTTGATCTTAGTAGCAGAGGGATATTAAGTTATTTGAGGCATGTGGGAAATTAATCTATATGTTCTGTTGTCAGAACAATTTGGAGCTGCTTCTGTGAGAAAAGCTATGGTAATAGCAATGCAGAATGGGCTAAGTGCATACATGGTCATTCATTTGAAAGCCTCCAGACATTGGGAAGGTTTGCCTTAGGGATATAGGTTCTAGCCATCGGAACATTGTAATTTTCCCCTGTGTTTGGGTTCAAGTATGAGCGATCCCAGAAATGCAGTGATCTTACTAAAGATGGGAAATCATGAGTGTTCTCATTCCTCTAGACTGGGCTTGGGACCATCGGTAATAACAATAAAAAATTGATTGATCCAATATGACTTTTTGTGGAAGAGGGAAGATATTGTGATTACTTGTCCTTAGAGGACTGAAGTCTTAGATTTTAATGCTGAGAATAGACTGCATGTTCAGTCAAAACAGTTGTTGATTCGGTCAGTCTTAGTGTTGCCAGATATTTGTATCACTCAGATTAACGTTACAGATTTTGCCGTTGGGCTATTGTGACGTCATCAAACACCTCCAACTCGCTATCCTCTGTGAAAAGTCACGCCTTCTACTTCTTCTACTCAATTCACAAAATCCAGAAGTTTTCTCTTAAACCCTTTATCCACAATACTCGTTTCTTAAAATACTGAATAATTTTTTTTCTAAGATACTGGTATTTTCTGGTTTGGTATTACTATGAACGTCTCTGCTGAGAGAAACCTTCTGCTACTAAAAGACTAATATTAATCAGGTTTAGAGTTTAAGGCGCTATTTTCGTAATCCACACTTCTTTCCGTAACGCATCTAAGTTTTATACGCATAAGGTTTCTTTGAATCATTGCAAAATACCAGGTCTGCAACATCGACAATGTTTTTTAGCAATACATTTATGCAGCAGCAGGCATGCTGGGTAGTTTATAAGCTTTTAATGAAACGCTGGCAGATATTAGGGTTTTATGGGCTGGAAAACAGTGCAAATCAAAGAGCTTTGCTTACTGTTTATAGCATTTTTCCCCTGAATCTAACAATATTTATCTCACTTTTTCCATCTTGCATTTTGCTCTTCACATATTTACTTTCCCTTTCACTGATATATTTACAGTCAACAAACTATTTTGGATGAAATATACTTAGAGCTACAACATGCCCATCATCACGTGGGTCCAGTTACCTGGATAAAGCCTGAGATGACTTGTTCATATCCTACTTTGTCTTTGGTCTGCATTTATCCTAATGAGGGTACACTTATATCTTGCATGTTTAGTCAGTGTTTCTGGACATCATTAATTGTACCTCTCCTGAGGCCACATAAATGACCCCTAAGGGATGTCATGTTTTCTGACTGCCTGCTGGCTAATACCTGTTTTATCATGCTTTCAGTAGCAAAACTCTTCTCAGAGGACATAATCTCTATTAGTATGTTTTCCAAGTCCCATCTGCTAAAATAGTCACAACACTCATTGGTGTCATCGTGTAGCTTTCTAAGTAAAGACTTTGTGTGCTCTTACGTTTAAAGTCCATGTTAAAACTAGAATGAGATTCAGGCCTAAACACTGAGTCATAGTTTGTTTTGAAAGAATACGGTGACAGTAAGAGTGATGTAGCACCTAACAATTCTTAGAGTGCAAATACATCTTCGGTGAAAAAGTCAGCCCCCAAAACTGCTTGAAATCTTCTGCCTCATCTAAATCTTTATGAACTGTGCAGCTATCCTAACTGTCATGCAAAGACACACTTATCCTGGCTGATTCCTGGAGCTGATGCTTTTTTTTCTTCTGTCCTTTGCAAAATTCATTTGTTTATTTCCTGCTCGTGTAGAGTGCCTCATGGAGCTTCGCTCCATTTACATAGAGATCCCTATGTAAATAGGTAAAAATATGATACACTTACTGGTTTTCTCATCAACAAATCGAGTACATTTCAAAGTCTCATGTAGCTATGATTAATAGTCCCCTGAGGCAACCTGGAGGAATGAGAGAGCAGATTTAACTCAGCAGTCCAGGCTCTCATGGTGGCACTTTGTTATCAAGGAGTGATGGTTTTCTGGGGCTGTATGCTGAAACACAAATGAGCTTAACTTACTGATGGTGAGTGTAGGGAGGTACCAGTACCATCATTCATAGGGTCAGTGTGGCAGACTACCCGGTTTCCCAGGAAGAACTGGGGAAGGCTGTGGCTAGGACTAGAGCCTATTTCAGCACTGAAAAAATGCATTCTGCAGCTCAGTTAGGGATAATGGTGATCTTTGATGTTAAGTCTGTTAATAGGAGGTAAAGATAAATATCTGTGAGAGGCAGATGATTTCTAAGTAAGCAAAAGAATTTGGTTTTCAGAGAAGCTAGAAATGGAAAATGTAACAATTTTTCTCCTCAATTCTACTATACTCATTAAATCCAGAATAACTAAATTATAGTGTTCCCCTGTACACAGAACATATGATTGGTTTGGATGGATATGAGGCTAATGTATGTCACCTCAAATTAAATTATAGAAACCTATTTTATATTTTCCAGATTTATACTTTACATTCCAGTTAGGCTAATATGCTTTACTCAAATCATAGCAGCAGCACTATTTTTGAAAACTTTGTCTCTTCCTTAGGGCAGAGAACACCTTCATCAAAGTTCTTGAAAATTTTCTATTGACACCAAGAGACTGCAGCTCAAGCTGGTTGTATACAGCATTGCTGTATTTTATTAGAAATGTAATTGTAGCAGTATTTCAGAATGGACTTTTTATGTCTAATTTATTTTGGATGATCTAGCATTAGACACCCTGTATTTCTACTTTCAGCCCAATTCTGCTAGGTTTTTAAGTGTTAATTGCTCTCTTCAGCTTGGGTGGACTGTAAATTTTGTCTCAGCTCCTGTAGGAAACTAGAAGTTAAGAGATCAGAGCATAATCAGATCCCATTCTGCAAATAGGAGCAGAATCATTGCAGGAGGGGAAGTGGGGGAACTTCCAGAAGAACCACTTTGATTAGACTTAGTTTTGGCTTGTCCTGACTAGCTGCTTCATCTCAACACCTTGTCCCTGTTCTTTTTTCTTTTTTTTTTTTTTAATGGGTGTAGTCTACATCACTCCCTCCTCCTTCTCTTCTCTTAATCTTTTTGTGCCTAGCTTGCCAGAAGCAAGTTTCTTGACATAATCTACCAAAAATAATCATGCCAATACTATGAGGTTGAGAATCTTCTTTGCTCTGTCTGGTACACCACTTCTCTTGCTCTGTACCTTTGTCATCTAATTGTACTGTAAACTCTTTGAGCAGGGATTTTCTACTGTTTCTACTGATTAGTTTCTGGTTACTACTACTGGTTACTGCTTCTAATGATTTTCTACTGAACCCATGCAGTGTCTGGCTCACATGGGCATGGTCTGAGTTGACCCTTAAGGTGCTGTTGTCAATAAGCATAGTTAGCAACCATTTTAGATCATTCAGGAGCAGTCTTGAAGTTATTCTCTTATCAGAAATCTTTGTGATTAGTGTTTTTTCCAACGTTTACATTTTCAAGTGTATAAAAAGATCCTTTGCTTCTGACAGCATGAATCTGTGCGCTGTATGTGCAATTTGCCCTGGTAATTACTTATGTGTGGTGATAACCATAGCAACATCCCAGGTAGATAATGTCATGCAAATTACTGCAGCTCCAGGGATGGAAGATGTTAATACAAGTATGTACTCGCACCCCTGGTCTTCAACATTTTGCAGTGACTCTCCCTTCTCCTCCCCCATACATGTTGTTTTGTTTTTTTTTTTATTTCCCTTCCTCACTATGATCAGGAAGGAAAAGAAAACCTCTTGCTATTTTTCTCATTGGTATTCACACAGAGGGAGGGGGAGGGTGGTCCTTCAATGTTTCTATCGTGAATAATTTTGTATGCACAGTGGAAATTCCACAGTGTATGTAGGGCATAAAAGTCTAGAGACTTGGATACACTGCAGGGCCGTGTTGTGCTTAAACCCAAGTTCTTGCATTTGTAAACATGGAGCATGAGCTTGTGGGCATGGAATTGTAGCCACAGATGTTTGGACTGAGGTGTAAACCTCCTCAAATCATTTACAGAGGATATGGGAGAGCAGCTTTGTTTTTCAAGGCAGACATGCTGTGGCTGAATACTTGTCAGGGACAGTGCGTTGTTACTGAAATGAAGAAATACCAGAGAGGAAGCTGCTAGCAGTTGTCCTTTGTTTGGTCATAAGTAAGAGAAACAAAAAAAT